CTTCAGAAACCTTGTTACCGTGGGACGAAAGTATTCACATAAACCGAAAATCTGACTCATCACGAATAGTGAATTCAACCCTCAATGCTTGACCTTCATTCGAACCGCGGTGTTTCAGGGTTGTATAACTCTTAGTATGATGTGGGGACTTTCTATTCGTTTCAGTTGTACACAAATTAGACCGTTGTATGTTTGGGTTGCTGTTTCACTTAACTATTCAACTGTCTGCCCACATTTTGTGGTATTATATAATATATACTCAACTACCCAATTTTGGAACAGTACTCGAGTACTGTTCCATGATCTGTCAAGTAAAGCTCTATTGATTGACCGGAGTAAACTAAGCTAACACCACGACAGCAAAGGTCTTGGAAAACGGAACACATTGTTTGGACAACAGCAAATATTATCTGCCTTATTTCACAAGGAGAGACCAAATGTAATGTCAATTCTAGTCTAAGAAATCAAAACACCTTTTCCCTAAACTTATACCTAAGTGAAATATCAAGACAGAAGACTATATTATCATATCTGTCGTCGGAAATTTTGAACGAAAACCTCTTAGATAATAGTCTTGGGAATACCCATTGTTCAGGATGCTTGTGTTGTAGATTTTTGAGGCGAGGTTTTCATGAGGTTCAAACTGTCTGGAATAGTGACCTCTATAAAAATATAGATCGCCATGCTATTCAACTCAAGCTGAAAGTTTATGCTACTATAGCTTTTAATAACTAGATTTAAAACAATGCTTCCAGTAGTAAAACGAAGTGAACGTGTGACTTTTCTATAGTTGAAAATCTCAACTTATTTTGCAGAAATAAACTGGTATTCCGGGGCGACCTTATCAATCAGCAGTATGTAACAAAATCCTAAGACAGGTATGACCAAGAACAGTCCTATTGCTTGAGTAAGGAGGTGAGTCAGTTCGTAACTTTTATGGACTAGAATCGGTTGGTTTGTAGTTGAACGTATTGAGTATCTACCTCCGTCGATATGCTGTTTCTGGGTCTTTTCTGAAAAATCTTATTTGTCTAACGGTTATTAATAGCTGCTGTCATATGGTTGCTTGCACACGGAAAACGCGATACACATAAGCTATATATACCATGATGGAGGGGTTAGCTTTCTGTAGAGGGCGAAGTATATTGACAAAAACTTTTTCTATAATAGGCACTGACGGCTTGAAGTGGTCGAGTCTTTTAACTGGACGACTTTAAAGTTTTGTTGTACTAGCACTTAACACCACGTTCATATAACTTCTTGAAATGATTGTACGACTCATCTAGTGTTATTTACGTCAAAAGCAATCGCAGCTAGAGTGAAACAATAATCTTCATTCTGAAGTCCACATTTTCACATCATTTTGCCTTTTAACCTTTTTATGTCATAATTATCTCATATTACGTTTTAGTTCGCGTAGGAGTTGCATAAATTAGGCGGTAGAAAGGTTAGGTTGAAAATGCAACTTATCTCTGCTAGTGAGCTTTATGTTTTACAAATATACGCGATCTCTGATCAATGGGTTGCATTTTTTCAATCCAGTTTCACACAGCTGTTGTTCAAAGTCAAGTGTATTGGATAGTAAGCTACATTAAAATTTTAGAAATTATGCTCCAGATGGTATATATGACAGTCGAGGTCCTCAAGATAACAGATTTCGAACATCACCATCTCTAAGCACCTGAAAATACAATCAGTTAATCATAAACAAATAGATTCTAGTTATTAACTGATCATTTTTGAAATGCTTCCATAAAATAATGTACTTATATTTCTTTTTACCTTGTTCTATTCAGATTCGTTTTGTGATGAAATTCTCAATTTATATATTCACAACTTATCTTTAGTCATCCAGTAGTTATTGAATGTAATCTGTCAAACAATATACACGCTCTTTTAGCAATGGAATTCGCACATATTATCTTCAGAGTAGCGTTATCTGGGGACCCCAGTATGTTACTACAAATTTTATCTGGGGATCCAGGTTTGGTGAATCTTCCCGACTTTGATGTAAGTCAGGAAGTTTGTCCTTATTTAACAGGGAAATATGCCACTCCATTTTGCTGCTATGTCTGGTTCATGGGAGTGTGTTAAAATATGCATTTCTGCTCTACAATCTCGCAAGGATCTTGACTGCGCAACGGAAGTTCAACGTAAAAATTTCATGGTAGGTTAATATACTAATAAACATCTTTTGAAGGGTAAAGATGCTCTTACCATTTCCGTTGAGAAAAGTGATTATGAATCATTTAATCTACTAATAGGTGCAGGAGCAGAAACAGATTATCGGTGTGCGGATGATGTGCCTCCTCTGGTGGCTGCTTTAAGTCAAGATAACGTGAAGGTGTGTTCATATTATACTAAAACATTATTAAAACCATGTTAGTTAACCGCCAACGTCCTGGATGCACTCGACATAAATTTTCTTCGTTTACGCCGGGATCGCTATTGGATTTTAGCATTGCATACTGACCTCTCAATATCTTTAGCTTATTTCAAGCTCCTAAAGGCTCATGCTGTCCCTTACATGCTAAGTGAATTTGAGGAAATTTGTGCCATTGTTCTCGAAGTAAGTTTCACTAATCGATCTAATTTCCATACATTGTCAACGTAGTGTCAATAATTGCTGAACCGTGCCGTTTTGATGGTCACTTTTTTATTCATTCACCTCTAGCCACTCTTAAACGAATACAGCATGATAGTTTTGACAGATTCTAACAACGGAACAACAACTTCCCTGATTGGAACACTAACCCTACATAAGATAACGTTAATCTACTTTCATTCCAACAGCAACATTCTGTTGTTACATTAGTTCTATTTCGGACCTGTTTTTTAGTTTGAGTAAGCTCTTGCACAGTTGTTAAATTACAAACTCGGTGCATTTTAAGAAAGTACGTTAGCTGTTTTGCGTAACATACACTGTCAAGTATACCTATTTGTGTTACCAGCCAACACTATTAGACCTAAATAAAATATAAAGGTGATACTTTTTGAAGACCGAAATTCAAATTATTAAATAGTACTTTCTTGAGTACTGATATAATAGGAAAGAGACTACTTAAAACAAGGAAACAATATTAAAGCAATAACATCAAATACAGTGTCCTTTCCAAATGAAAAAATTATGAAGTTCAATACAAGTAGATTTATAGTCTCAGAGCATATTGTATGATTTAATTGCAATATTTATGTAAATTTAAATAAATTTTTTGCTTTGTTATTTATTATTGGCATGTAGAAAGAACCATCAATAATAGGGATTGAAGAATTTTTGATTTACTTGGGGTCAGATGCTGTGGAACGTTGGTCTATTCATCAAGAGGAAGTATCTCTTTGTTTAATGCGTATTTCATCCTACTTTTTAAGAAAAGTCGTTCCATTTAATCAAAACTTCAGTTGTATTCATCGCTTGCAAAAATTAGGATTATACACACCCCCGTCATCTGCTAGAACTTGGTTGCAAGTTCTTTCTCAATGGGGATTCCCAAGGATTTGTATCGAACAACCGGACGTCCAGAAACAATTGATTTGGAATTTAGCAGATATCGATAGGAGTTCAAAAAATACAGTTCCAGACAGGCGTTTGCTGCCGCTTGTACTATATTTCGCTGTCTTAGCCTTACGTTTCCCATATACAGATTGGATCGATTGTTGGCGTGAGGTTTGTTCTAAGGCGAACTTTAATGAGCATGAATATAACCTAGGAACACTTCTTGAACTACACAGTGTAAGGCAGTCGAAATCTGTCTTTGATTTCTTTTGGCATAATATATTCACTTTTGCTATTTCACGTGCTGTGTTGTATACTAATTTAAAATTGTTTCCCTTAAATGATGCTCAGTGGTCTATGGACAAATTTTTAAATCATGCTTATCGCGAATGCCAATTATTACAACCACTTCCTCCAGGGAATCATGAGAAATTAATTTATCTCCTTTCTTACTTTCCAGCATCTAACAATATTCCTGGACATGAAATTTTTATGTCTATTTTGTACCAGCATTTCTTACCACTGATATCTGATGATGATATTGAATGTGGTAGTAGTTGCTCAAACGTTAATCCCAATGTATTGATGACTGCTACAGTTCATGTGCTTCATCAATATTCTTTACTAAATCTAATTGTAAACTTTTCAGCTAAATTAGGTCTGAAATTCCTAAGCAATATTCAAGACTGGCCACGTTCAATATCAACTGACTACAAAATCAAGTTGTTCAATATATTAATTGCATGTTATGTTGAGTCTAGTCGACATACCAAAGTACCTAGAAATACATCTCAGATTCTACCATTGAGACAAATGGGTTGTGATCATTCTAGTTATTTGAATAATTTAGTGAATAACCGGCTGAGTAAATGGTTGTCTGAGCCGAAACGTCTCTCATTATTGTCTAAAGTTACTATACGCACATGTCTCAGACGTTCCACGCAACATCGTTCTTTCCCTAAAAAACCTGTAAATGAACTTATTAGGCGTTTACCGCTGGCCCCAATGCTCCAGGAGTACCTTATAGATAATGAATATCTAAAGTAATGTTGATTCTAGTTATTTCTGCAAAGTAAACTTCTGATGTACTGTATGATTTTATATTCATTTACAACACAAAAATCAATGTGATTTTGAGTAAATACACTTGTTACGACAAATATTGGTTGTTTTATATCATGCCGAATGAGTGAGAGTTAAGAATTTACATGAACAATGCTTCAAAAAAACTGTTCGAATAATATTAACCGTGTTTTACAGACAAGTTAGTATTAAGTGAAACGCTAAATAACATACTTATTCCCTAATTAACGGGACACTTTACTCCCTGGGTAAGTGGGACATAAACGATAATGGGGAGATGAAGTACTTGGTGCGATAGTAATTCATCAATTCCTGGGAACACTCAGTGCAATGCCAACAACCATATCCAAAATGATTATTGTTGTCTTATAAAGATTGGTTTGAAAACCTACGCTTAAGAGACGCCACAGAATCTCAAAGATATGTGGTTCAAAAAACTTATATTTAGAAAATAATAAATGTACATAGTTTATTCCACTTCGTCATCCAAATCATCCGCTTCCTCTAAAGCCTGCTTGGCGAATGTCTCTGCTTCATCAAAGAGTTTGCGAGGAACAGGTTGATGTATGCCCTTTGTATCTAAACGTATGCATATATTATCAGGTCGATAGACTTACTTGCACCAACCCAACTAAGATCCAATTCAAAATTTTTGTCCTTGATTTCATCGTGAACGGTATAAATTCTACAAAAATAGAAGACCGTGACGATTGATTCAACACAATAAGACGGGTTAATATTGGGAGTGACCTCAATAAATTTTGTCACCATTGTCCTCTTTCAGTTTAAAATGTAAATCATGGTATTACTGTGCTGATTTACCACATCATCAATCCTAGTCTGGAAAAAATTTTGAGGCACATTAGTATCAGAAGACTTATGATCGTTTACAGTTTATTCGTGACACTAATTGGCAAGACTTAACGAAGCTCGCTGTGATGAATGCGGATAGTACTGTAAACATATTAGTAAGACCTGTGGCTAGCTCCCCCCAACTCTGTAAACATATCCATCTTTTCATGGACAGGTGTCAAATAAACGTCACTGTCTCCAACTATTAACTTCACTGTAATTCATAAATGTAGTTATCTATATTTTCTTCTGGGTGTGGTCTTGCGTGTCAATTATCTGTCGTCATCTATCATCGTTTTGGCTGTAAATACGTTTAGCCAATAATCCGTAACTCATACATGCATTCATATAGAAACGACACTCCTAGTTTGGAATTAAGCAATGCACACCAAAGGCATTGTGTCGAACGAAACCCCAGGCCTTAGGAAACTGCAATAGCTTCAAGTCAGAATCCAGTGGTTCATGCCTCTCGATCCGGAAAAACTTTTATATCCCTTTTGGTTTTAATGATCCAATTGATTACGTTTTCCTTGCAGGGAATAAGTATGAAAGTAGAGAAATATGTATTGAGACGTACATGAACTACTTAGCACACTGTAATATCTTTTCTGTCTAATAAAATGTCAAGGAAATGCCGTTTGTCGTCACTTTTTTTACAAGTGAACGAGTCAGAAGGCACACAGTTAAACTCCCTTAAGAGTTCTTCAGTAGTATACTCTAGGGAGATTAGGTAAGATAACACCTATAAAGGTCTCACTGCTATCCCATCAATTTGCATGTTATTGAAAACAAAATGAGCGAAATTACAAGATAGTCAGTCAGTCAGCTGCAACGTAGGACCAGGCACGTATATGCATTGGTCCAAGTTGCCATACCGCATTAGCACAACAAGATGAACACCGGATTCATTGAAGTAGTTAATTAAGTGGTGGTAATATATAGAAGAGTGTGTATAAGGAGATAGTACAGGAAGATAGAATTAGTTCCTAGAAAGAAAGATTTGAAATGATTTTAATCTCTTAGTTTAAAGGAAGACAGAGTGTGTATACACCGACACCATTGTGATCGATTCTGAGCCATGTCACCAAGAGTCTCCAACCATTGGTTACGATAGTCACGCGGACCCCAACCAGGCAGTCTGAATCTACCAACATGGCTCAGACCAGAAGTTAGTGATAGACCTCTCAAGGATGCTATTCAGTCGACCAGTGGTGGTTGGTTAATCAAAGGGTAAGCTAGTTGGTTTTAATACTCCAAGTTGCATTTATTGATTCAGCTGCTCCTGCGAAGTGAGCTACACTGAACTACTAAACAAATTAGCCAACGAGCATTTTTTGCGGCTAGGAAAGGGTCGAACGAAATACGTACACTTAACGATCTGTTACTCACTGTCGATAAAATCGAAACCTCTAAGGTGGTTTGCTGTATATCTTCATGTCTTTCCATTGAGCTTCGATTTCGTCCTCTACAAGTAGCGGGAGCAATATGGATATGAGCACACTATTCTCTATATGTGAAAGTTAGATACGTTTTTGTTTTTTTTAGTCAAAGAAAACGAAATAAACTATCTTAGTGGTCCTTTCTACTTTTTGTCAGACTAACCCTTTAGTATCTTTTTTTATAAATATATTCAAAGTGATTATACGCTACTTACTACGTAGTTTTTAGTGATTATCATTTAGCGAAGTCTGTGTGCCATCTCAAACAGTAAGACAATTTTTCGATCGGAGTATGTAGGTAAGGTCTCTTAAAAGACAGATATAGGCTGGCACTACACACTCCCTTCAGAGCAGCTGTCACACAGTCAAAAGATACAAGTTGGTAACACAGAAACCTTCTGGAGGCACATATATTGGTCTATGAAACGTCGGACGTATTTCACATTCTTTTACTTGGCTACAAACTGAATGGACCTTGTTTGCTGGGTGTATATTTACTAATACTCGAATGTTTCGAACAATTACACGTGCGCAAAAGTATCAGTAAACTCAATGATTTCATGAACAGGAAAACGTCATGACCTACATTTTGGCTGCTTCCTTGATTAATTCCTCTGGAGACAGATCATTCATCCTCAGTTTTTCTATCTCAGTTGTTGCATTTTGTTTGGCTTTTCCGATGGCACAACCAAAATAAGCCTTTCATGTAAAGAAAGTAAAGACAATAATGTTGTAAGATAAATGGATTGCAGAAAATAGAGGGAATTTATTGTTTTGATAATAAGTAGCTAAATCAAAATTTACTATACTATAGTAAAGCTACTATGGCATCTACTGAGTGACCAGATGTTTTGTATGACAACGTTTAGGTTAATAATAACACTGCTGACAAACAATAACCAACGTCATACAGAAGTTCATGGAAAAGAATTTAACGAATTATACATGTATCAGACAAGTAGACTACTTAGAGATCTTATTTTGAAGTGCCGAGTTTAAAAATTTATAAATAATCTGTCCAAACCATAATTTAGTTTCCAAACTTGAACCTGAGAGGAATAGTGGACTTTGAACATGTCCTTTTATTTAGGGGCTTGCCAATCTGACGAGTATAGATCTCCTGAGAATAGTAATCAAATGAAATAGTCAGTCAACACTAAAGTAAGACCTCGCATGAATATTGATCGGATAACATTTCCACACCTGACACCAGTGCAGTGAGAGGAAACTAAAAAAAGTCGAAAGCATGTTGTGAGTAAAGATTTAAAAACGAATACGCTTCAAAACATGAGAGATTCAATTGTAATGGAGCAAATGGAATAACGGAAATTTTGCTATGACTATAAGAATCAATTGGACTTTTAAAAAATTTCATAATAGAACTACTGCTAAGCTGTTCAAAACCAGCGTGACAAAAGTACGGATTTTAAAAGCATTCATCTGAAATTACAATTTTTAGTAACTACAGAAAGTGAACAAAGCAAACGTTAAGACTGCATAACATGCCTTGCTAAGCATTGAAAATATAAAGAAACATTAGAATAGATAATGACCTGCATGAGTGAAGAACAGCAAAAACGTAGAATCTAAAATACGGGACACAAAAACTTTGGATTTCGAGACAAAAGGAATGTAGTCGCGTTATTGAGACTGATTTCAGAATATATCAACAACTAAAATTTATCACTTTTTCACGGGCTCTGAGAACAAATTCGGCACTTGTCGACACTTAGGGCTAACAATTTATAACCTGGTGCCATGTCTAAATCTGTTTACCCTTAGATGCGTATCAGGGTATGCGATGACAGCATATGAAACATCCCCCGGTACGATCACTGAAGATAGAGCCTCACTACACTTATTTTTCATCAATATTTAACTCCTGAGCTTAGCATTACTCACTGTGTTTGTACCACGTAGTAGCAAACAGTACACAAAATTTGCTCCATGTTCAGAAGATATAATTAGTCGAGGTATTCGAAAATGATTTAATGCTAATACATGAATATATATATATATATATATATAATATTTTGCGTAAACACTTGTTACAAACATGTAGTTATATCTGATGACTTAACAATAATATATTAGCCTGCTATCGTAGATCTGATCGGTTCGTCCAAATATTATAATCTCGCCCATTACTCAAGTAACTACTACTCTACCTCAGAGTAAAACAGCACTTCACAAGAAAATCACGACACAATATTGGCAGAAAGACTTACAAAAGACAGCCCAGAAGGCTCTATTACGAATAAATGAGGACCATCGTTCTCGTAGGAACCAAGCAAAACTGATACACCGAACGGTCTGACAGCACTATAAAGTGTATGAGCGTGCATGTACATAGCCAATCGTTCCGTCAGAGACTACAAAAAAATATAGCAAACGGGAAACATACATAGAGAGGTATACGGCTTCCAAAGCTATTACGATAATTTGAGCATTCTTCTCTGGCTGCCTCAACGATTGCCTTGGCGTCAGTTTGAAATCCCATCACCACCTACAATCTACAGGCATTGCAACTAACAAATTACCATCCCGATATGATCATCAATATTATAAATCCTCTTAACACAACCGGGCTCGTAAAGTTTTGATGTGACAATATTCTCCACAGCAAAAACTACACAGTCTTTACCTTGGATAGCAATGGCTGTACTAAAAACATGGGTAAAATAATAACGTTATTTCTTGCCCGCTATTTTCGACAGCCTTACAAGCATACTCTATCTGAAAAACATTTCCGCCTCGAGAGAACTGAGATGCAGTAAGGTCATACTAAAAAAATAATTAAAAAGAATGAGAGACAAACCCCACTGCCGATAGAGGACATGATTCAGCTACTACGATTCCGCGACGAACGACCTTTCTCAAGGGAATGTCCGACGCTCAATATTTTGTTGACGAGTTTGTATAGCCCAGTAGATTGGTTGGTACCACCCTCTCGACGTTAAGCAGCAGTTATGTGATTTTCGGTCACTCCTAGCAAAATATTTTTAGATTGTTTTTTGTGAAAGGTACTCCAGTATTTTTCGAGTTGCTCTCTTTTACCTTGATTTACTCCTATCGAAAATTCCATTTCAGCGGACAGTGAATTGACTGGGGTCAGTTGCCATTGCGCCATCAAGTATTTTCGTGTTGAGAATCAGTTATTACAACATGAAGAGTGAAGTGCTTGAAAATTATATAAAGTATTGTGAACTGAAGTGAAGATGAGCGTAAAATGAGTGGTAGATTTGTAGTGACCTACTTTTGTCAACAGGACACGATTGGTTCGATGAAAACAATTATTATTATAACCAATTGTACCAGTGACTGTTTTACTGTGCTCGTTTGTTTAACTGTACTAATAACAGCCATTTTGGGCTTCCATTGTATTCCATTGCTTTTACGCGGTTTTTGGACTACGCACGTATCTTATCTTGCCGATCGCAACTGTACTCCTTTGGCACGATCTCGGTATTCTTTCGATACCACGAGATTGCCAACAAATATATACGACTACTACAATCATCTGCCTTCTGATATTTTGGCCTACCGGGATTTTATTGGTCTATTGGCAAGTAGTCTGGTAGCGGTGTTCATAGTCAAGCTCAACTCGACACCACGCTACATTTGGTGAGCCAAATATTGGAACACGCCTCAACCTCGGTCAAATTTTTCAAAGAAGGCAATTCGGTGAGCCTATTGTTTTATCTATCCACGTCTGTCATATATTTTCATATTAATTTTTAATATATATATTTGACATGACGGATAACGATAAGAATAGTATTAATATAATAGACTCCGATGAACGCGTACCGAATCCTCGGCACTTTTTATTCGCGTGACGATAAATTCCACGCCTTATTCGAGAAATTCCCCAGATTAACTAAACCATTCGAGGAGATTTCATCGGTGACCAATCGTGTGGTACACCACATAGTCACCCGCGGACCACCAGTCACGGCAAGACCACGCCGACTGGCACCGGACAAATTAGCTTTTGCTAAACGTGAGTTTGACAATTTACTATCTGCTGGTATTATTTGTCCTTCTCACAGTCCTTGGGCCTCTCCTTTACACATGGTGCGCAAAAAGGATGGGGTTAGTTGGAGACCATGCGGCGACTACCGAGCATTAAACGTAGCTACGCGCTTTGATAGCTACCCCATCCCCCACATACACGACATCACGGCATCGCTCAAGGGCACGACTATCTTTTCTAAAATCGATCTGGTACGAGCATATCACCAGATCCCAGTCGCTCTTGAAGACATCGAGAAAACTGCTATCACGACTCCTTTCGGTCTGTTTGAGTTCCTACGAATGCCATTTGGATTACGGAATGCTGCTCAAACTTTTCAAAGGTTTATCGATAGCATAGTACGAGACTTGGATTTTGTTCACGTCTATATTGATGACCTGCTGATCGCATCATCAAACGTAGATGAACATTATCAACACCTTACGCTATTATTCCAACGTCTTTCGGATAATGGAATAGTAGTCAACCCAGAAAAATGTGAATTGGGTAAATCAGAAATAATATTTCTGGGTCACATCATCAGACAAGAGGGTATTCTGCCTTGCGAGGACAAAATTCGAGCAATCAAGGAGTACAACGTGCCGTCCTCAATCAAGGAACTGAAGGCTTTTCTCGGTTTGGTTAACTTCTACCGACGTTTCATCCCTCACGCGGCAGAACGGTTACGACCATTAACCGATTTACTACGCGGTAATCCACGCAAATTAGAACTGAACGATACCGCACGTACTGCATTCTCAGAGATCAAAACGGCTCTCGCTGAAGTTACACTTCTCGCTCATCCTGACCCATCAGCCACGGTTAGTATAGCGGTTGATGCATCGGATTTTGCCATAGGAGCCGTTATGCAACAGAATATCTCCGGTAGTTGGCAACCGCTCGAATTTTTCTCACGACGCCTTACTCACACGGAGACGAGATATAGCGCTTTTGGTCGCGAACTGCTTGCAGCCTACTGCGCCATCAAACATTTCCGGCACGCAGTAGAAGGACGTCAATTCATCTTATTCACCGACCATAAGCCCTTAACGTATGCCCTGCATACCAAGTCTGACCGCTACTCACCACGAGAGTGCAGACATTTGGACTACATCTCCCAGTTCACGACAGACCTTCGTCACATTAAAGGCGAGTCGAACTATGTTGCCGATGCTCTTTCACGTATCCAGACGAATGCAGTTAGTTTACCGGTGCTCGATCTTCCTGCTATGGCCGCTGCACAAGCAAACGATCCTGACTGTACAGAAGCACCACAATCTTCGTCCCTTCAGTGTCAGGAAGTACCCCTAGCTACTAGCTCAGGTACTATCCTATGTGATATTTCTACCGGTCTACCTCGACCCATCGTACCTCTACCTATCGCCGTCTCGTCTTCGATGCCCTTCATGGATTGTCTCATCCAGGTATCGCAGCCACATTACGCCTCATCGCTGCACGATACGTCTGGCCGTCCATGAATAAAGATGTTCGTATGTGGGTAAAGCAATGCTTACAGTGTCAACGATCAAAAGTGCACAGGCACGTAGCTGCCCCCATTGGCACGTTCGCTACGCCTGATGCTCGCTTTGATCACGTTCATATAGACATTGTAGGACCATTGCCACCATCGCATGGGTATGATCACATACTCACGTGCATTGACCGTTTTACAAGATGGCCCGAAGCTATTCCCATCACGTCTATCACGGCGGAGACAGTTGCTCACCGCTTCGTAGAACGATGGATAGCATTGTACGGTTGTCCCTCGACTGTCACGACTGACCGAGGACAACAATTTGAGTCCGCATTATTCTCCTCACTGACCCGGCTGCTTGGTACGGAACGCATACGCACTACCGCCTACCATCCAGCATCGAATGGTTTAGTCGAACGGTTTCATCGCCAACTTAAAAGTGCTCTCCGAGCACACGAAAACGACAATTGGTACGAAACCTTACCGCTCGTTCTCTTAGGCATCAGAACGAGTTTGAAGGCAGATATCCAATGTTCCGCCGCTGAACTTGTATACGGCACGACATTGCGTCTGCCTGGGGAATTCTTCACACCACGGAGCAGTAATGATTTCGGTAAATCAGACTACGTCCATCGACTGTCTGCATTTATGCGAACGCTGTCTCCGGTGTCAACTCGAATACAACATCGACAGGTCGCTCTCCCTCGAGAGTTATCTACCTGTTCACATGTTTTCATACGAGTAGATTCGGTACGCAAACCTCTAAAACAGCCTTACGAAGGCCCTTTTCACGTGATCTCTCGTCACGAAAAGACCTTCAAGGTTGATCGACACGGCCGCGTCGAGATCGTCAGCATTGATCGTCTCAAACCAGCACACGTCGATGACAGTGCCCTACCCGATAACTTGAGACTCAATGCTAGACCTATCAAACCTTCTAGCGGGATCTCTACGTCTACCTCGGATCCCACGCTAGATACATCAGAGACCTCGTTCTCACGTCCCGGTCAACAGCACGCGTCATCTGCACCATCTACGGACGAGACTTCCGTCACACGTCCAGATCGGCAGACCACGCCGCCCTTGAATTTGGATGAGATCGCAGGCTCACGAAGTACGAACGAGACCACCGTCTCACGTTCCGGTCGCCGAGTACGATTACCCGTACGCTTTCGCGACTAAACGCACAGTCAATAACGGATACGGTGTAGGATTATTCCTATACTACACGCATGCTACACTTTTCTTTTTTTGATTTTTTTTTGTATCCTGAGCCCACGCCTCCGACCATCGTCCATTTGATAACGTCGACTTCAGTCAACTTTGGCGAAAGCTGGTTTGGCCACCCACGCTCTAGTCAACGCACTCAGTCGATTATCTGGTCTCGAATCCGCCTGGCATATGCTTGGTCGTTATGGTCGCGTCCGGTTTCTTTGCTCAACGTGGTTTCGTCGTACGTCTGCAGCGTTATCTGGTCCGCATCCATACGAACGCAATCATCAGATCCTGGATACAAACCACTCTGGTGTGGTATGCTAACTCGACCAACAAATACAGCACACTTCTCCTGGTACCGTTCTGCGCAAAAGACTTTCGTTGGCAACTCGAGGATCAATGATCACTTCCTGTTCCGCCAATTTCCTTCGTCCTACAACCGCAATTCTGCCGATCAGTCCCACGAATCAAACCGCTAACTATCGAAAGTGTAAACCCTTTCTAGTGGGGGGCTCCTGTAGTGACCTACTTTTGTCAACAGGACACGATTGGTTCGATGAAAACAATTATTATTATAACCAATTGTACCAGTGACTGTTTTACTGTGCTCGTTTGTTTAACTGTACTAATAACAGCCATTTTGGGCTTCCATTGTATTCCATTGCTTTTACGCGGTTTTTGGACTACGCACGTATCTTATCTTGCCGATCGCAACTGTACTCCTTTGGCACGATCTCGGTATTCTTTCGATACCACGAGATTGCCAACAAATATATACGACTACTACAATCATCTGCCTTCTGATATTTTGGCCTACCGGGATTTTATTGGTCTATTGGCAAGTAGTCTGGTAGCGGTGTTCATAGTCAAGCTCAACTCGACACCACGCTACAGATTTATGGGGCAGCGAATGTAAAAGATGGGCTATTAACATGCAGTGTCGAAGAAAGCTGTTTACCCGCTGTTTTTGGGATAGTTTTTACCATGTTGAATATCAGATATCATGATAGGTTTCCTTTTGTTCTCTGTAGATCGTCATAAACAGCACCAGCTCTCCCAGCACATCCATATACCCATACCTGTACCTGAAAACCTCAGTCGTTAAGCCTCTTATTGAATTCTGCAGAGGATTTACGTCCGTTTTCTACAGCGGAGTTAAGACCTTGTGTGGTTTTTGAATGAACTAATGACTCCTTTGTACTTGTTGAATGTTTGATTTCGAAT